ACTACTACTACTACTACTACTACTACTACTACTACTACTACTTACTACTACTTCTACTACTACTACTACTACTACCACTACTCCTACTACTGCTACCACTACTACTACTACTACTACTACTACTAAAACCAAAACTAAAACTAAAATTATAGGACCGGATAACCCCACATGGGAACAACTTCGAAAGATTGAAGCTGCAGACACAAAGTGCTGAAGAGTGAGCATGGGGAAGAGACAGGCGAGACAAATAGAATGCGTAAGGGTCGGTGTGTGTAGGTGAGGTGCGCGTTTGATTGTAGGTGCTTGTCCGTGAGTGTGTATGAGTGTGTGGGTGGATGTATGCTGTATGACGCTTGTGTGCATGTAGGTGTTTGTAAGGTGTGTGTTTGTGTGTATGTGTCTGTTCATCAGGGTGTATCTGTGTGTATCCGTTTGTGTGTATCTCGTCAGAGAGTCGGTCGTCGGAGACGAACTGGTCCAAGTGTCCTGAGCAGGAAGATGCATACTGGTCATATCGATTCATATGGTTGACTCATACGGTTGACTCTACGTAGCTTTGAGCTCCAGCGAACGAGCGCAGGCAACGACCTCGGAGGCGACTAGAGAAGACAAGATCCCAAATGCACCGAAAGACACCAGGTGTGTACAGACCACGAAAATTATCTGCAGGCGGAAGCATGTTTTCTTGCAACACGCACTTATCCCACGGTCATCTAGTGACGGCCATCACGCTGTTGAAAAAACCATGTCTGAAATCGGCAAGTCGCATCAATGAGACAGAAGCAAAATTATACACAGATTCCAAAGTTTCCAAAGTTTCATCTCTTCATTCTGTAGCGATGGCCGTGGCACCTTCCATAGACGCATCTGAAAGCTGCAAGTCGCATCAATCAGAAAGAAGGCGTGAGCACATCCATATCATCCAACAGTAACAGGTCACGCCAATCGAAGACATACATTTCAAACATGCTTGGGATCATATCACCAAAACGAAGGATGCGCGCTCACGGTCTACCT